AAACTAAACTAAGTAAAATAAACTAAAATAGTTCTAGCTTACTATTACAAATTATTTAAATAAATACGATAATTAGAAACTATTGACATAATATACATGTCACTATAAGTCAAAAGAAACATCATAGATGTCTTACTAATACTGATGATGTATGTCTTTCTAGAAAGATGCCGACATCTCCTTATGATCGTACTTATCCTTATTAGAACCTACACATGAAAATCATCACGCGCTAAGTATAACTAGTGAGTCAGTAATAATCTAAGGTGAGTAAAATATGAAAATATCATAAACATAAATAAAATAATTCAACTTAAAACATTAAATAACAAACCAACTATCCAGTCGATTTCTTCATGAAGACTTGAATTTCTTTTTAAATCATGAACTCATGATAATTATGATAAATCATATATGATAAAATAAGCATATCATACTTTCTATCAACTGAAAATCATTCACAACTTGCATATTCATTTTCATAGCCCAATGCATATTCATGATAACATAAGATACGTGAGTAAGGTGTGCACTATGCACAACACGGTGCAAATCGTAACTGATATTGAGATATGATGCACTTCAATGCCATCATAACCTGAATAAGCACCAACGGTGCTGGACATTGATACACGAATGTACCAAAGCTGATATGATAACATTGATACACGAATGTATCAAAGCTGATATGATAACATTGATACACAAATGTATCAAAGCTGATAATACTCAACTAATAGCATGCCAAGTGTACCAGTAATTCTAATTATACATACAATAGACTTATGTGCCATAATTAAATCCATAATCAAAATATCATGCTTGGGTAGTTCATACCCTAAATCATTCATAAAACTGATATAGAATATTATAAAAATATTCTTTATAAACTTTATAAATCATATTGTAAATTTGAATGAGGTTGACTCATCGCAAGTCTTCCTCGATCAAAAATAATTAAATAAATAATTTGCACTCACCTTTACCTCACTACAAAACTTGTATATAATAATACTAATCACGAGCTTTGTCCTTTCCTTTTGAATCGTTCGGATTACTAGAATTATTGTAATATGACAATACCAAATTATAACACAAAATGTTTAAACTATATATTAGTATCGTTCTAACATAAACTCATTTTGACATTTGAAAATCTATAAAATAAAATCGATATCTAAATTGATATCAACCTAACTCACAACTCCATTATAACTTCAAACTTCTCGAAACACTTATTCAATTCCACGAATAATTATTCCCAACATGATCTTCAACTTTTACCAATTATAAAATCAAACCACATATTTTAATTTCTTTATAGAATTCAACTCAACTTTTCCTTTAATTTCATAATAGCTCTTCACTATTATGATCATTGTAAATTAATTACTAAAATTCCAGCACTTAAATCACATACCCAAATCAATACTTCTACATTTAATAACTTGCAAACAAGTCCCTTGACATTACTTTAATTCATTTCAATCTTCACCAACCTTACACAAAATTGGTGCTCCACTGGACAGACGTCCAGTACCCAATTCACGCCCACCAACTCCAAATTAATTATAGTAAAAAAATGAATCCTACTCATCATACTATTAATGTCTAAATGCAATGAACACAATGATTCAACGAAATTAACTAATGCACTTCCAAACGAAGCAGGCTCGCAACACTTGTTCACAATTAGACACTTGAACATTTGGAACACGAGTTTTCTTTCAGAAACTGGCACGAAATGGAACAAAACAAGGTTAATAAATAGGAAAACATTTACACACATGTTAAACTTCAAACCAACTAAAGCCACACTTAAAATTCCAATTTCACCATTTCCTTCATGTAATCCCTTGGCTGAATCACTAAACCAATCCCTCTTAATGTTTCCAAATCAATTTTCATGCTTAGTTATTCGTCCACAACATTCCTAAGATCCAAATTCAACCTTAATTCAATCAAAATCAACTTCCCCTTCAACCAACATAAATTCCCATTTTCACATTTAAGCATGAAACCAAGAAATAATTATAGCATCTTGTAGATAAAATAGGATAGAACAATTTCCTAATTCACAATTTAGTCCCAAAACTCACTAAATTTGATCAAAAATGGAAGAAAACAAATTGACTCACCTTGTCTATGGGTTTCGACAACTAGCTGGAGAAGAGAGAAGAGTTTCACGATGTTTCTCAAAAAATATCTCTAATTATTAACCTTTAAAACTAATTAAACGAATTTTTTATTCCTTTTTGAACCAAATACCAAAATTACCCTTAATAAATCTTGAAAATTACCAAATGCCATTGTATTATATTCCATTAAAATATTCCTTGGTCAAAGATGATATAACTTGACTTTAACTTTCGAAATTGATCATGAAATTTTCCAAAAATTGCATTTTAGTCACTAAAATTTCACTGTTTCGATCAAATTTTTAAAATTGCACTGTTCTGAGCAAAATCTCTCTAATCTAAAATATGAAAATAATATTTCCAACCATTTTATAACATCCTTCAAATTTTCGTAAAATTTCGGTTTGATTCGATTATCCAATTTCAATACCGAACTTTACTACTTTCTAGCTTTTATTATAATTCCCGTATATATATAAATCTAATTCTCGCTAAAATCTCTATTTTAATCCAAACTATTCATTTACAGACTAAAAATATATATAACTTTTAAAAATTACAAATTTTCAGTCCCTACATTTTTCAAAGTTTATACTTTAGTCCCTAAACTTTCTAAACTTACATTTTAGTCACTGGTCCAAATTTGGGGTATTAAAAAAATATTTATCTTATATTTTTAAATTATATAATTTAATGATAATTCATAAATAAAATTTAATTTAATAAATTTTATTTTTTATAAGATTTCATAAGATTTATTTAATTCATTTTATAAAAAAGTAAAATAAAATTAGAAATTTTTTTGGAGTTTAAGATAATTAGAGGTTAATATATAAAATAAAATTTGCGCAAGATAAACGAGTTTAGAATTATTCAAATAAAAATCATTTTAAATTCAAGATAAAAAGTAATAATATATATTTTAACTTTTAGAAATTTAATTTTAATTTTTGATATTTTATTATACTTAACTTTTTTTAAAAAAAATTATATTTTTAAATTTAAAATATTTTTTTATTTTTTTAAAATCAAATATCTCTTTGAAATTAAAAAAAATAATTTAACCATCGAACTCAATAAAAAATTAATTTAGCTCATCATTCAAGTCATCATTCACCATGGACTACTATCTCCGCACTGTGAAGTGCCATGTTAGTATCGTAACGGTGAGTCAATTTGTTTTCTTCTCCAGCTAGTTGTCGAAACCCATAGACAAGGTGAGTATAAATTCAATCATTATAAAAAGTACATCTAATTATAGTCAATATGAATTCTAATCATACTTAAAAAGAAATTCAATCATAGGGTTTTAGCATTTTTTTTATATGTTACATTACTCATATGTCAATGACCAAAATTCATGTATATCCAATATGAATTCAATCATTAAATTTACACAAATAAAATCACAATACATAGTATAATGCCTTGTATACTTCATTGATCCAAATCATAGAATTGAATTATTCGTTAAAATTATTGTTGATGAGATGGTATGATTTTTTTTAATAGTAAAAGGGGCGGCTGTATTGACTGAATAAGAGGATCACAGGTGTCTTAGATGGCAATATGCCGTATGCGATATTTGAGATTCCAGAGCAATGGGGTCCCACGATCATGGAGGGAGTACTACGTTAGCAGCTTGTGACGCGAAGTTTCTTCACTGCCTCATTGATGGCATGTCCTTACGTATACTTAAACTTAAAACCTTAAAAGATAATAAAATTTCTTAACTACTAAATTCATTTCGTTCGGTGTATCAATTTATTAAGAACACTATCTCACCATATACGACGGACTCAGATGGAGCAGTCATTAGCCATAGGACTAAAATGGTTAATCCCAAACTCCCAATCTCTTAGATATCTCTCTCTATATGTTGTTAAACCTAACTCTTTGATTTTTGGCCTTCGCAAAGCTCAGTGCATCTATGGTTATTGACTATGGTCTCCCAAGTATGCAATGACACGGCAGCTGACTGTAAAACATGGTAGCTTGGGAATGTAAATGGACTTCATAAACATTTGTTTTTGTAACAAAACTTCAGTTTATTAAATTATTTCATTCAATTTCCTTCTTGAGAAATGGTCCTATAATTCCTCTTGTTCATATTGCAACAGGAGCAGTTGCGGCCATCTTAACAGGGGAAACTCGGTGTATATAAAGCTATCTTTATACTGCATTTTAAGTGGTATGATTATTGGGAGCTTGTGGCCGAAGGAAGTGGTCATCATGAGTTTCTGTATGATTGGATCGTTGGATAGGGATAACATAATCATATCCTTACTTGTGTTTGCAATGAAAGCAGGCACGTTTCCCTGATAAGTTCTTTTTGTTTACCCTATTGACAACTCAAAGCAATGTAGTTTTGCTTTTCCTCCTCCATAATTTAACCTGTAAGGTTTTACGACATGTTAGGAATTATAATCTAGAAAAATACTTTTAACTTTGCTAAACCTAGCTTATTGAAATGTATGATCCCTTTAATGAGTTTAGATAGCAAGCATCATGTTCAATTAATTTCCCTTACCGTCAATAGTAACTAACTGGTGATTTTCAGCTACTGTACTCTAAAATATAAACACCCGCTACTCTGAAGCAAAGCTCATATATATAAATTTACAGAAAAAGCTCATAAGACATGGGTTAGGTTAGAACACACATGAAATATTACGATTTCACATACAGAAAAGGCTCTCCTGGTTCATATAACGAAAGATATAAAACAAATGTTTTCTTACAAGCCTCAAAACTGAAAGGCGCCGCCTTTTAATTTGTTTATTTTTCATATTTAGTCACGCACTTGATATTTTATCATATCTTTCTCTTTCTGCTTCTTTTTCTTTGGTTTTTATTTACCTGTCTTTAATTTCAAACGTTGAATGAGATTTATTTGGCAAGCTCGTTTACATGCGGAAGGTGACAGGCATACCTCAGATTTCGATGGGAGGCAAGAGCATTTTTCAGGGCAACATCCACGGTTGCTCCTTCACAAAATACTGAATCATACAACTGACAGGCAAACCGAGACAGTTCCTCCTCTTCGTCCTGAAAACCTCCAGATTGGTGGTTTCCATTCTTCTCTAAGTCGTTGTCTTCCCAATCACTCACTGGACTGAGATGTTCAGCCTCTTCATCTTGTACATCTTCCAGACTAACCTTGAGCCCCCCGTTTTCCAGGCTGTTATGCTTTCCTGATCCAGTACTTGTTGCTGGTGACACATCTTGGGGCTCAGCAGCGGGGCAAATAATAGCTTTGACACCAGAATCCAGAAAGGCCTTAATTAAATTTGCAGTAGGACCATAAGTTCCTGTGCAGATTATGATCCTCTCCCTCCAAGCTCCAACCTAGTATTATTCAACAATGTATCATTTGTTAGAAACAATTTTCTTCAGTGTATCATAGCTCAGTATCTATTGGCCATACAACATCGAGAATAAATGCTATTTGGCTAAAAACTACTGATAATCAATAATACAGGATTTCAGCAACTATAAAGGATTTCAGCAACTATAATCCTCACATTCTTGTAACATAATGTTCTTATTATTATTCCTTCAATGATTAAGAGGTAATATATATATATATATATTTTGGTAGAACGATTAAGAGGTAATTAACTCAAAATCTTGTGTCTAGCAAGGTCATCTTGATCTATAAAGTTTATGTGCAATTGGACCAAGGGAAATTACTCTACTCCGGTAAATCAGATATTGGTCTAACAAAAGGTGCAACAAACAAGCCACGGAACAGGACACAGAACGTCAATAGACAATGGAGGTGAACATCATCAGGGTTCAGGTCTCATGTGCTTTGAAGATAAATCAGATAATCAAATGAAAACCAAATGCATACCATCGAACGAACATCATCAGGTGTCATGTGCAAAGAGGGTATGTGGCGACGAAACATGTATGCCATGATTTCTTTATCATTTTCCATGACCTTGAACAGATAATAAAAATCACAACAGAAGTTCATTAGTTTCAGTAACACCAAACTGAAAACAAATGGAGTCATTTCAAAGCAAATGAGGAAAGCATGCACACTCGGGTTTGGCATCCAATATATCTGTGGACCACATTTCCAACTTGGAAGCATGGTCTGCAATGAACCAAATCAGCAATAGTTGCTATATTGGAAAAAGGTGCTGGACCCTTCCGATGCTGGTTTTGCATCATTGAGGACATTGTAACCTTGACACTTTGCAGAAACTTATCAGCCAGTTCTCCGGGTTCAGCCACAATAAACACATCCTTCTGCCAACTAGTGAAAGAAGCAGATAATAGGTTAGAATTGGCCCATAAGCTACACTCACAAATAATGCGAAAAAACAGACGGGGTTTTAGACCTTAATATTGAGCCAGCTGAGTCATTATGAAGTGCCAAATGTATAATGCCAACTTGTGGTAGATTCTGTAACTTCTCTTGCAATGATTGTACAGGTGAAGAAAGCTGCCTGGGTCTGGGAGAATCCTCTGGGGATAAAGAAGTGATTTTTACAGGTTTTAATCCATCCAAGCTTAAAGGAGGGACTGTGTCAATTTGGCCAAGCCTCTGCAAGCTAACATCAGGACTGAAAACATGAGGGCTTGAGGGATAGGTTTCAGTGATCGGAGGAGGGGTTAATGGTGTTGGAGATCTTGTTGCCGGTAATGTCTTTGGAATTCCAGATATGTCATGCAAAAGAGATAATCTTATTCCATTGCTTGAACAAAATGACTCAAGTGCCCGAGCATGGTGCAGAGTTCTTCCAGAATGAGGACTGTGCAAAGCTTCAACAAGTAGTATATTTCGCCTCCAACCTAATGAAGGGCTATTTTCTCCTAGAACTAGTATAGCCCAAGAAAAATGAATTGAAAAAGATTCAGCATGGCATCCAGAAAGTTAGAACATGTGACAATTAACAAAAACAACCACACCTGAAATTGATGACTTTTTCCTGGAAAAGGATGGAGATTTCAGACTCTCTGCCCATCTCTCATCATGTGTAAAGGGTAGAAGAAGCCTTTCACATGCGTTCTTCAAGGAATCTGAATTGTTTTGGATGTATTCTTCTACAGCACCTTCCAGTTTGAGCCAAACTGTTGGATCAGTCTCATCCAGCTCCACATCACAACGTTCATCAACTACAGGGACAACAATAGAAAACAATGAAAAGTTTGTAATTAATTAACTAAAGAACTGTTACACTATGATATATGGAAAGATCAAAGTAAAAACTGGTTGGATTAAAGCTAGTTATGGAGATATCATGGCAGGGGTAAAATAGACCTCCAACCCTCAACTGTGAAAGCCACAACGAACCTGTTAACTTTTGTACCTGGATTAAACCGAAAGTATTGGATCTCAGGGAGCATAGGTAACAATATACTCAAAGCTTCCTCTGCTCGATCCACAGAGCATGCACTCTCGATCAATACTTGCCCGGTATCTAGATAACGCCAACCACCTTTCCTTGCCTACAACAGAGGAGATAATCATGAATTTCTGAAATGAAGTAATGAATCTGAAACCTCAATATGAAAATAAATGGAAGTAGAAACATATATCTTTTTATTTTTATTATCCAGTAGTCGAATTATCAAAACCACTCTGAAATGTATTGAACTTGGAACATCAATGAAAGCAACCATGCTGTTTCCTTTTATTCTGCTTGAATATCCTCACGAAATGGTGACTTGCAGTTCATGGTCATGTTTATTGGTAAAGTTTTATGGCGCCACTAAAAGCCATGTCATGAAAATTTCTTAGATGGCAAAAGCACGGCAGTTACCTTGACTGGCAAAGAACAACAACCAATTGAAACTATACAGTCAATTTTTGTATCAGGCCACAAAAGTTGTGCTTCTCTCAAGGCAAACACAGTTGGATTGTTTGCCACTATAGCACCATCTTGCCAGCGGTATACATCTACACAAAAGGAAAAATGAAGGTTAAGAAGCTTAGACATTCTTAAAAGTAGTTGATCTAAGCAAGCAGAAGAAAAATACCATCTGAAAAGTCATCAAGATAATATGGGGCAGCTGAAGATGCTCTTATAGCTTGCCACACATTGTGTTTACAACTTCCAATAAAAGCAGTTTGCTTGTAACCAATCTGAGAACCTGTAGTTGGAGGTCCTAGAACAGTGATTCCTGAACTTTCAGATATTGCAAGAGACACCTCTGGTGTTCCCACAGGGTACTGCACATCAAGAAAAATAAATATGTCTACAAATTTATACAGCTAACGAGACATTACCATAAATAAGCATAAAAAAAATAACTTGAACCCATCTAGAGTTCGTATAATTTGATTAAAAAGGAACTCTTGGCCTCAACCTGATAATTGCGGAATAAAAAAGGCTGAGCTGGCGCAACGCTCACCAAAGTTGACACAATAAAAACTTTTGGAATGTTTTTCACAGCAGATTCAATTAATAAGTCGCCATCCTCATCAGCACACATTTCCTTTAGTAATCTCTCAAACTGATCTGCACTGTGCTGCAATACTAAAAGTTTTTATGTCTTGTTGAAAGCAAATGATACTTTGAAAGGTAAAACAAAAATGAACACCTCTGAAAGTTAACTATAATAAATTCCCTAAAACCTCTGAAATTATCTGGTAGGAAAATAAAAATTCCCATTGGTTTAAGAACTTCATACTTTAGATCCATGTACAACAACTCTGAAACTCTGAGATGAACTTTTATAAAGCTGATCAAACTTTTCCCTCCAAGTTGCCGATTCATTATCCTTTGGCACGGGTTCAGCAAAAACAAGTTTTCCTACAAAGCCAATATGGGAGAATAACATTAAAAAAATATGCCACGGATAATTTGTTATTTGAATGAATATTTATGCTGCATACTCACCAAGATTTTTGTAAATTTCTTCACACTGCTCCAAGGTCATCAACTTAATACCAAGGGCAACAGCAAGCATACCACCTGTCGATGTTCCACATATAAGGTCAAATAGTTCATGTATCCTCTTTCCAGTTCCCTTCTCTATTTCTTTAAGGATCTGCACAGTTGCAAGACCTTTCATGCCACCTCCATCCATCGAGAGTATGCGTAGGCCTTGTTTTGGTATTTGTCTCCCTCTAATAGCACGCCTCAAATTTTCATTCTCTCCTACAAAAAAGAAACAATAAGATAATCTTATGATCTTAAGATTCTCAAAGGAAAAGTCAAATCCAAAAAAAATATACCAAGAATGGCCAAAGCACGAGCTGCAGCTTTATTTACAAGTGGTTCAGGTGTAAAAGTCAAGCGCATGAGAAGTTCCTTCAAGCTTTCAGAGGTGACAAGACAGCGGCGATTCTCCAGACAGAAGGCCAAATTTCCTACAGCTATCAAAGCAAGCCTTTGCACCTGATTAAATATAGAGGCTTAATCGTACAGAACCATTCAATATAAGAGTGATAATTATCAGAAAGTTACCTCTGGGTTTTTATGGGCGCACAATATTTTTAATGATCTCAAAACATCCTTGTCTAGCATCTTCTGAGCTACAGTGTCAGATCCAAAGGCGAGTGTGACCACAATGTGCAGCACGGAAACCAGTTTTCCTGGAGCTGGAGACTTCAAAACATATTTTATGCGCTGCATGATGTCACATTTCATCAACTGGATCGCCACAGAAACATCTATAGCAAGAGTTGATAGAGCAGAGCAGGCTTCTTTGACCTGAGACAAATCTGAACTATAAAGACAGTGCAAGTAGGGAGAGGAAAGAAAAAGATATAATGCCCTATGTGACCTCATAAAAGGGAAGTGTAGCCAGTGTACCACATGGCGGTTGTCACTACTTATCATGCTTATGAGCTGCTGCAATGCATTCGCATCTTTACCAATAAATACACGATTCCCCTCGTCTTGCATTATTATCTTGGCCAGTGCAGAGGCAAGCAAAGGGTGATGGCAAGAGGAGAAACGGAATATGAGAGAGAAAAAGGCACTCAGCTTGTGTCTAGATGCGCCAAAATAAGAATTATTCTCCATCTGCAATACAACAAGAGAAGCAGTTCATTTCATACATTTATTATGCTCATTCAAAGGCATGAGCAGGCGAGCAGCTAATATTTGTTGAGCTGCACCTCTATTTGCACAGTCACCGATCTTAGATATTCATCGGCCACAATCCTGATATTGGCAAGAGACAAGTGGCGTAGCTTCCTTAAAGGCAAGATCTCAGGAAGGAATTCGAGTGGATTGCCAAATAACCTCAGAATCTGTAACTCAACCATATCTCTGCCATCCAACTGGAGAAAAGCATTAGACAAGAGAAAGCTACATATTCAAAAGCCTAAAAGAAATAAGTTGATAGTCAATAAAGTGACCTGAAGTCAAGAAGAGGCCGAGCTAGTTTGTTATGCTCTAATGATATTTCTACCAGCCCGATGCACTGTTTCAGCTCCACTGCTCATAAATTACCAACAAAAATATAATGTAATAATGATAGATTACCAACTCTAAAAACAAGATTATACTTACCAGGAACCGAAACAAGCATGTTGTTGTCGACCCTAAGAACTTTCAAGGTTTTTAGTTCACCAAACTCAGGTGGTAACTGTGATAGCTTGTTGTTATCAAGGTATATTTTCTCAAGAATTGGCAATCTGGTTAGCTCGATGGGCAGTGTCTGTATCAAAAAGTAAGCGAGCAGTGAGTATCAAACTACAGAAGGAAAGGAAAAGAAACAGGCCTACCTAAAGTTTATGGACCCACTTTTTCTCAATACCAATATGTATTGCTGACAAAGAGAAATCTAAAAAAAAGAAGATATTAATTAAAAATAGCCTAGACTTAGGCTTATACTTTTTTGTAACAAGTAATTACCGTTAAACCACATCCACAAAGACTAAGCAAAGTGATACTTTTCCAATGGTCACCATTTCCGATGGAAGTCCCGTCACCAGAAAGAACCAAATCCGACCTTAACAATCGAACCAGAACTCCGACTCCATCACTCTGCTGACTCGACCCGCCCGCCTTATACATTATAACCGCTCGTAACGGCTCCCTTCTCTTCTCCACCTTCATCTCCACTCTCACGGCATTTCCTTCGGTCTCTCTCAATTCAATAGCCACCGCGTCTTGAGGCGCCGGAAGCGCCACCATCAGTTGAGATCGCAGCTTGAGCGCCACCTGGTCCTCGTCATCTCCAGACACCCAATCCAGATCGATCCTGGATCCCAACTGTTGCTGGTATTGGGCCTGTAATAATTGGGACAAGGAAGAAGAGCGAGTAAGCGATGGTGGCGATGATGCTGTGCGGTCAGGAATTTCCGTGAATTCTTCGTATCCGTAGTTTAGAGATAAACGGAAGGTATCCGTAAGCCATTTCCATCCTAATCCCCAAGACATTGTGATCGGACAGTAAAAATGCGCGGGTAATAGAATTGTGATCCCGATCTGACGGTTCTGATGATGATTCACATTTTCATTTGTTCATGGAAAGAAAAACAAAATTTGCATTTGAGAATAGAAGTGAAGTTCCTTTTTCTATTGTTAAGGATTGCACTTCAGAGAAATTTATAGGCAGGAACTTCCAGGGATATGAGACACTGAAAGAAACCTGGAACAGTATTTGTTCTCTTTTCCTATGAAAACTACGAACTCCTCGTTTGTTTGTCTGACACCACGCTTGTCCTTTCTTTTTGTCGTTTTACGATTAATAAAAATAAGAGAATTCACTAAACCACGTCATCTTAGGGTCTGTTTGAAGGTATATCTAATTACAAGAAATAAAATTCTCATCCCGTTTCGTTGGTCAACATTCTCAGCTTTCGGTAATTTTTTATTATTAACAGTAAATTTTTTGGAGTACATTAATGGGAATGTGATTATCTCTTCCCTTAAGTATTGCTGGATTACCGACGTTTTGAACTAAAATGCCCTTAATTTTTTTTTTCAAAAATATACTTCTTTTGTAGTTAAATAATAAAAATTCTACGAAGCTTAAATTACAAATTTATCTTTAAATTATTTTAGATTTACAAAAAAATCTATAATTAAAATTTTATATGAAGTACAGGGGTTAAAATAAAATTTTACTCTTTCATTAAACTTATTTATCTTTTCAATTTTGTAAAAATAATTTAACAAATATATAATAAGAACAATTTGGTAAAATATACATTCCAATAATCTTTTATTTCTTTAACCAAATACTATAATCTTACATTCATGCTAAACCAACCAAACACAAAATACAATATTCTCAGTAATTCTATTTCCTGATAATCTTTTATTCCCACTGATAATGTACTCATGACAGTCTTAACAATTAGTTATAATGATCCAAGTTTTCTTCTTTCCCTTTGTTTATACAAATTAACACCTAAATATTTTTTTTCTTAAATTGATATTTATTTTATTTTATGCCAGTTAATATTTTAATTTAAAAATACTTTCATATTAATATGTAATTTAAAAAAATTAAATTAGTAAATAATATTACTATAACATTTTAAGAATTAAAAATATTGTGACACATGATATTTAATAATGTTATTATTTACTAATTAATATCACATTAAGTTTTTTATTAAATTTTATGATATTAAATCAATACATATAATACTTTAAAAATATTAAATTTATATTTTAATTTAAGATAAAAATTAAAATATATATCAGTTTATAGAATAAACCCTTTATAATATATGGAGTACTTTGGATTATACTGGAAAATGGGCGAAAAATAAAGGAAATTGAGCCTAAAGTCTCCGGCAGAAGTTGATTGCAAAACAAGGGGCCCAATCACTCAACACCGACCCAAATGCCCGAATAGTCTTATCTCAAACCCTCGACAACGGAAAACAAAAAGCCAATACAAGGCGCTGCTAAACCATGAAGATGGCTTCAGCTTCAGCAGGCTTAGCTTCAATCTTCAGCAATGGCTACCGGAGTCTCAGCGCTCCAGTCTCCTCCCTGAGAACGTTAGCGTCTTCTTCTTTATTTACGCATTACAAGAGCAATAGCAAGAGTGCCATTTTGCATTGTTTGAGTTCAAGGAAGAGAGAGCTTTCTTGTTTTTCTTCCAGAGTGGATGTTGTCCAAAAAACAACGACTTCTTCTGTTAATGGGTACTTCAACTTATTTTGTTTTGCTTTTTTTTTTTGGTTTATTGGTTTCTGCTTTTAGAGGAGAAAAACTATATCTTTCGGGTTAGAAATGTGAAGCAAAGATAGCTAACTCAAAAAGTGGTTCTCTTTGAAAGGCATGGAGGCTTCTTGGGTTCAGTTGCATTAAGAATTCCTCCGAATAGTTTATTATCTCAAATGAAATTGCTTTGAACGGTGGGATTTTTTTGGGTGTTCTCACATTGTCACAGTTTGGCGAACCTTTTAGGTTTCTCTAACATAGTTTGTTATTTTTAGTGCTATATTGAGCTTATCATTATTTTCCCTTTCGTTCAACCTTTTTTTTAAGTTAATTATATGGTTTGTAATCGAGACTCATTTCCCTTGTGCAGCTATCCCAAATATGACCGGTTACTCCCGTGCCCCTCGGACAATGGCCCGCCAAGAGTCGAACACTTAGTTGTTTCAGAAGGAGGGCCTGTTCTCGAGTATATCTGTAAAGCACTGGATCTTCCTCCTCTGTAAGTCATTATCATTTTTGGTTATTTTATTTTAAACTATGTGATTTATGCTGTTATGGTCTAATCTTTAATTAATAAGGACAGTGTGATATATTCAAAATTTCATTCATTGAAGGTTTGTTGCAGATCTCATCCATTTCGGAGCTGTATATTATGCCCTCGTGTGTCCGCAGCCTCCTCCTACTGCCACCCCAGAGCAAATTAAGATATTTAAAGAAGTAACAGCACCATCAGCTTTGAGTAAAAGAGCATCCATTAAGGGAAAAACTGTGCGAGAGGCACAAAAGACTTTCCGTATAACTCATGTTGAGCAGTTTGTTGAAGCTGGAACATACTTACGTGTACATGTACATCCCAAACGTTCCTTTACTTCTTCAATTGTGATTTGAACTCTGCAAAGTCATTTTGTTAATGCATGTGGATGAATTATAACAACTATATTCTGTCTCAACTTGCTAGGTTGGAGGAACTACAGATAATATAGAAGAAAGTTGCTCAACATTTGCTAGTCGAGCCTTGGGATTTTCCACTCCATTGAAAACTACTCATCAGATAGATAATTGCACAGAAGGCTGGTATTGTATCTTGTACATATTACATTGATTGTGGTTGATTATAGACTTTTTTTTCTTATTATTTTATTTCCGTCATTTGTTGGTATGATAAGTAATAGCTAGTAATTCACTTGCAGTGTTGTATTAGCTAGGACTAAGGAGTATTGCTCGGTTTTTCATGGGAAAATCAGAGTAAGTTTCTAATAGGTTTGTATAATTTGAGGAAGGTAGTTCTATTTCAGAGCTTCAGCTCATAATATTCTGTGAAGTTATGTTTTTTCCGAAGTTAATAGATTAACTAATTAACTATGTATGAGTGGGTATAAATTTAATTTAGCAAATGAATATTTGTTCACTTTGTTAATAGATTAACTCGTAATATTCTGGTTTTATTACAACAGGAGAAAAAGGTAAAGAAACTATATATTGCTCTCACCGCTGCTCCTGTACCAATTGGAATAATGACACACTATATGCGTCCAATCAATATGGCTCCTAGACTAGTCTCAGAAGGTAATACCGTCTCCTAAGCATTTTGTTTATGCTATTTCTCAACCAAATCTGAAACTCTAAGAACTAGAGAAAAACATGGAAAATAAGATTCAGTATACTCCATATTTTGCTCGTCTGACCTAATGATTTCTCACCCTTTTCGCCTCTTTTGATTTTATTTGTTGAAATGAGTACCCAGTTTCTGTAGAAAATAATTGCATTCCTGTTATATAGGATTTTCGTTGGATGTGTGAAAATTCTTTTGCTTATTACATGATTTCTACAAGTGCATAAAGATTTCACTCCCTAATTTTCTCGATATATTTTTACATTGTCAATTTGTCACTCCCACAGTTTGTTCATTACCTTTTTTTGTCTGCCCTATTTCAACATTTGTAATATGGGTTAAAGCCTGGGAGTTATATGACTTGCAGACTTCATTAAAGGATGGTACTTGTGTCAGCTCGAGGTTATGGAATGCAGGGAGGTTCCCTGGCCAGATTCTGTCATTCAAGAAAACTACTATATTGAAGACTCTGGGTGGCCTTTGAAAGATCATGCTTATGAGTGTAAAATAAACCTTTTGACTGGTCGAACTCATCAGGTTATCAAGTTATTCCTTTTTGCAGTCTTTTAAGTTAATTTGATATTCAGTCTTTCTTATTATCATTTTCCCTTGTTCATGGTGGCACTCGAAAGATAATCATAGTAATCTCTTGCCATGTGTCTTAGAGAATGCTCTTCTAAGTTCTAATATTAAGCAAATATTTAGTTTAGATTATAATGAGGTTTAGAAATATAAAAAGCTTAAACCTTGGGGAAATGAAGTTTGTTGATTCCTGATGATTCAGCTACAATTAGAATTGTTTCTGAACTATTCAAGTCCATTTCTGCATTCGTTAACCTTCATTTAGGTGCTAGTTTATGGGACTTCAATTAATAGGGAGGAGCAGAAAACAAACAAACCTCTATGTGAATTTTCATAATACTAAAGCCCCGAGTTTAATAACTACTAAACATTTGATGCAGGTTCGTGCACAACTGGCTGCCTGTGGGGCTCCAATAGTGGGTGATTCGATGTACATGCCATCTGCTATTGCAGAGATGGCAAACCCAGGGCTAAACCCATTTGGAAAATACAAGGAGTACACTAGTGAGAGTGATAAAGAAATGGCTGTCACAAAGTGGATTGTCCAGTTTGGGAAAGAGCCAAGTGTTGCCATTGGTTTGCAAGCATGTCAAATTTCATGGGATGATGGTGAGCACTCTTATGAAGCTAGATCTCCCTGGTGGAGATCCACAATGGCTTAAATTGTATACAATGAGGATATACCGTCATTTTATGGTACGTGTCACTCGTGTTGTGAAAGGTCTCATTTCTGTTTACAAGGGGCCTTAGAATTTTAGTGCCAAACATGCAGGTCAAGCCCATAGATTGGGGAGGGAAGAAGATGATAAAAGGTTAGAGAGCAGTAACTTACTCTCTTCATCCAACCCCTACCAATCAAAATAAGAAAGAAAAAGGTTGTTAGAAAAAGAAACTTGACCCTTTTTCTATGAAGTAATAGTGGTGGGAGAGGAAGCAAAGTTATTAGGGTTGTGAGAAGACTAATACAGATTCTGCACATGTATGAAAACTTCATTTTCTGATATCGTGAGCTGTAAAACGTCTTAGTGAATCTACTCACCACCGTACCATTTTATTAAACGCACGAAGACCATGCAATGGATCTATATATGCCCTCGACAAAAGGTCGTGACAGCACAAATCAAAAGTTTAAAAAGGACCAAGTGGGCCCAACCTTCTAATTCTTTGCATTTCTTCTCGTGAGAGAGATTATCCATATTATTTCAGTTCATCCATAACTGCATGACATAACTTATAAGCAATGGACATAACATGCACGTAAGAGGTATTCGGGAAGAAAAGAGAATTGTAATAAATAAATGAATTTCATAAATATTTTCGTAATAAATTCACGTCCATGTTTTAACTTTTTTTTTGTGTGTGTGGATAAATCAACATTTGTATTTGCCAATCCATACTAAACTATACATATGACTTGTTGAAACAATACCTGCACTTGTCTAGGAGAGGAACTCCATGAACTCTTGTTTCTTTCCTGCGATATCAAATATATAGATACCCCAACCAATTCTCAAAAAGTGTAAACCAGTTCTTCCCTCCTCCATTCCTTACCATCCAATCCAATTCAAATGATCCTGTAATTCAACTAATTCATCCTAAATACGACAGGCCTGAAACACTTGAAGCCACAGTTGCTTGGAATACGAACAACAAAAAGAATCAACCTGAATTCCTCACTCCAACAGTCTTGCCTTAATCTAAACTGTTGGAGTATTAATCCCTATACATACCCAAGCCTGTTTACATATTAATCTTCAAAATTAGGTGGCTCATATACCAAGAACACCCTACAAACATAGCCCAAATCATCAATCTCCATCACTATACCAATAATATTCTTATATCTCTCCAACACCTGATCCTTCTGGCTGTACATAGCAACAAGCAGACCATCTCATCCTAGTCTTTATCCTTTCCAGAAAACACTCTTTATTCTTCGTTCCCGTCAGAAAACCCATTTGTGGGTCATACTCTCTCACCATTTCCTTTAGCATTTTGGCTGTCAAGGGTTACCGTAACCCTTGACAGTTCCAAGATATGAACTCCCTTTAGGGGCTGTTATAGGTCAGTCACCCACAGATCATCACCTTCCTTTTTATCACTAACATTTCCACTCGTACCCCAATTATCAACGTAATGAACCTCGCACAAGTTACCTCCTTGTTCATTCCTTTACTAATCCTTTTTCTCCTAACTACCCTTCTATTCCCATCCCGAACGTTTAAACCATCATTTCCCACATTCTGCCCATAATCAATTCTACTCTTCTTCATCTCAACACCTCCTTTACCAAAACACTTATAAAAACTATCTTCCATTTCAATCCATCTAGCTTTAGTCTTAGCATCTAAATTTAATTTATAAACAATTAAACTTGCCTGTATTTTGATAAGTTCTCTCTTTTGATTTCTTATTCTCCTGCAGCTTTAGACTAAAGTTGTAGTCACCTCAATGATTATATGCTACAGTACGTGAATTATTCTACACTCTGGCTTCCCTTTAGCTTAATTATTGTTCTTCAGCAAATGCATTAATAAAGTTTATAAGAATGTTACTTGTTGAGGGTTCTCCCAGTCTTCGGCCAGAATCCCCAACAACCAATAAAGTATTGTTTTCTCGAAGTGCTGCGATTTTAATTCCAGGATTTTTGTCTCCCAACTCTTAAGAGGGTTCCTGGAGCGCCTTGTTGATATAGAACACAGTCCCTGGATCGTTTATGATTGATGCTCATAATATGCAGTTCGTATCAGAATTTCACTGCATCATCTTCCCAGGCCAAGAAGAAATTGCTCTTGGCCGAAGGTAATTTCTTCCAAATAAACCTGTACTAACATACATGCACGTGAAATAAACTAGGAAGTCGACACATAAAATAAACCGTCATTTCATCCATAACATTAAAAAAGTTCGATTCCTTTACAAACTTGTCGGAACCACTAATCTGAATTACCAAAACTTTCCACTAACACAACTCAATACAACTAAGTCTAGCAGCATCATTACTCGCAGTAAACCAGAAACTTTCTTCTGCCATTAGGTAAGTCGCGTCCTTGGACTTGGATCTTTCCTTTTGGTTCCACACCTAATTTACTTTAACCTTTCGTAAATTAAATAGAATTTTCTAATTTACACTAGCTTTTGGTTCAAATTCTGGCACTTCTTTCTGATCTTCATGAATATCTTGAATACTAGAAGGAACTTCTATATCGACAGCTGATGAGCAGAAACCAAAAGCCACAATCCTATTACATAAACGTATCACTTGGGAGAGCAAGTTGTCTTCTTTTTTCTCGTTTGTTTCCTAGGAATATTTGGGATATCCGTGCCAGACAGGTTCCTCATCATCTCTGTTGCAGGTTGGCATCCCGTTGATTGCTCGAAATCTGTAATTAAACAATGAAAGACCTCATCAAAAGACATATCTCTATAGGAGTGAGGCCATTAAAATTATTGCAAGGGACCACCAGAATGATATTTTAGCCGGGACTTGTAGCATATAGGTTCCCCTTGATATGGCAGCTTTTGTCCCGTGACAGAAGAGCCAAAGGGGCAAATAAACTAAAAAGCTTTCTCCGTGTCTTGGAAACTTAGCTTAAATAAAACTGAGATTTATAATGCATCTCCCCTTGTCAACGAGACCCATGAAATGACCCTATTATCCTTTGTCTTACTCTTATTTAAGGATTGTCCATATGGTAACAGACACCGCTTTAGGGACACATGATTTGCAGTATAAATAAATAAATAGATAAATGAATCGTTGGCTTTTACCTAGTATTCTCTCTATTGCATATTCTATCTTATTTCATCTAAATCATGCATCACGTTGAGAACATTCATCATATCAAGAAAAGGTAAATTGAGAGAAAACATGCCTTGAGAGGACCATGTAGGATTAGAATCTTTGGAGTTACCAATTGATGTTGCTGTGAAATCAGGGTCTGTCTTGAATTCGTTCATCTGCATAAGTTCAACAACTAAGAGATGAACACAATGGGCTTCAATCAAAATATTGAACGGAGTAGAGATAGATCATAGCAATAACATACCCAACTGGGTGCAGAGCCAGAAGGGCCATCCCAACCAATGTGAGCCACATGTTTGATATCTGTCGGATACCCAATTTCCATCTCTCGCTCCTTAACAACTACTATAGCAACAACAATACCCTTTCCCAATTCAGTTCCACAGAAATCAAAACACATAAAACAAACACAAAAGTAACCCAGGAAATATGCTCAAATAAATACATACATATTTCATACATTTCTGGGATGTTATATAGGAAGAGACAGAGAAAGGACTCACCAAAGATTTGGGAAATGAATTTGAAACCTTTGTAGATCCCTTTCATCTTGGTAACCATGATGGTGGACTAGGAACTCAATCGAGCAGCCGGTTCAAAGAATGATTGAATGTTGAAGGAACCTCTAGATAAAGGGGGAAGAGATTGTAATTTTGCTCCCCGGAAAGTAGTTGTACTTAAGATGAGGTTTTTCGCTTTAATATAATCAACAAAAACTCAAAAACAATACAAAAGGACAAAAAGTTCAAGCGTATCAGAGGAGTAATTACATGTGATTTGAGGAACTATATTACCCGTGAAACAAGGTTGGTATCTGTCGTAACCGGTTTTCGTCCGGGCACGAAATATTAAATTTTGGCGGGGAAATTAATGTTAATAAATAATTTTGAAAATAATTTGTGAGTCGCCATCGACCTTTTGGATCAGGTAGATCGAATACCTAAAAATTATTTTTTAAAAGAGTTTTAAGAAAACATCAATTAAAAAATCGAACTGATCTGCGTTTTATAACCAAAAATTCATTCTTTTTAATAATAAAAAGGGATTCGTGGTCGGTTACGTTTAGGGAAGGATTAGCACCCCTACAACGCCCAAAATTGGTACTTTTTTTTTTATAAATTGTCTCTATTATTTAAAATTTAAAAATTCAAAAATATTTAATTATAATCTTATAATTTCAAAATTGTAAAAAATTTTATTTAAAAATATCTGAAAAGAACTTCTAGGTACCTTAAGACAGCTCTTTTCTTTGATATTGATAAATATTAATAATATTGTTTAATTTTAAAACATCAGAATAGGACATCCAGTTATATTAAGACTGTCCTTTTCTTCGATATTAAAAATAAATATTTAAAAGTTAATATTATTATATATATTTATGAATATATATCAAAATATTTAACAATATAATAAAATAATAAATCTATTAAACAATATATTTAAAAACAATAAAATAAATAAAGACATATAAAATTAATAAACTAAATTATAAAAATAATTACTAATTATTAATTAATTATAGGATTTAAATATTTTATTTAATAATTTAGTGACCAAAAGGAAATTATTTAAAATTCAAATTTTATAATAGAATAAATTAAAAATATGAACTAGTGATTAAAAAATTATTTATTAAAATTAAGGGATTAAATCTGTAATTTATCCTAAATATATTATTTTAATATGAAGGACTAAAATAGAAGAAATTAAAATTCGAAGCCTGAATTAAAAATATTATAAATTCAATTTAGTGACTAAAATGTAAAGTGTACAAGCACTAAGGACTGCGGAAGGGATTTAATTTTCTTATAATTACGCGTATAGTCCTTCCCGAAACGACGTCGTTCGGGAAGGACTATAAAAGTCCCAAACCGGCTGGCCCTTCGGGCCAGCCATTTCATTTTTTTTTTTTTCTTTCTTAAACCGAGAGAGAGAGAGAGCCAGAATTCTCTCTGGCCTCTCTCTAGATTCCCTCACCGGAGGGAATCCGGCGGCCGTCTGCCGCCGTGAGTTCTGCCGCCGGCCACCGCCGCCGGTGGCCGTAAAAAATATTTTTAATCCTAAATGTAGATCGGAATGCCCTAAGACCGATTCCGGTCTTTGTTTTCTCTAAAAGACTCCTAATCGGAGTAAATCTAAACAAAACCGAAGGGTTCTACCTTCTTAAACGGCGGTTTGGCAACGTTTGACTTCCGAGGGCTACAAAGGCTTCAAGGGTAAGTCTTCTTCTTCTCTTTTCCTTGGTTTACTGCTGTGGTTGTAGACTGGGATCGTTGGTATAGCTTATTTTTTTCTTTTCTCTATTTTTTTCTTTTGGTTTCTGTCTCTCCTGCGGTCTCTCTGTTCTCTTCCTTCTTTTTCTTCGCAGGTGGGTGGTGGCTTTTATAGCCACCACCGGTGCGGTCATCGGACCGGTCCAAAGAGAGGGCTTCGGTGAGTCATCGGACTACCAGTGGTGACTCACCCCGTAGCCTTGGCGTGGACGGCCGACGTTGATCTTCTGGATCCTTCATTCGGGACGTGGCAGCGGCGGAGGCGGTGAGGGCTTCTGGAAGCAGCAGCGGCGGCGGTGGACGTGTCCCTAGGGTATAGATACCCTAGGGTTTCCTCTGGCAAATGATGGACCGTTGGATCAAACCAGATCCAACGGTTGAGATTGAAGATGGCGGCTGGCGGCTGGCTAGATTAGGGTTTAGAAACCCTAACTGGAAACCCAAATATTTAGGGTTTCCGGTTGGATTTGGACCGGTTTCAGTTGGTTTGTAACTGAGCCGGTTTAATTGTAACTGGTTTGTATTTAATATATTTAATAAAAAATAATAATAATATTAATAATAATATTAATAATGATAATAATAATAATAATAATAATAATAATAATAATAATAATAATAATAATAATAATAATATGGATAAAAAAATTTAGTATCTTCAGCTGCCCCTCTTTGCTCATTCTTGTGTTAACAAGAATAGGGCAAAGATAAAAAGATAATAAAATTTTTATCCATTTGACTTTACTTTGATCATGATGGAGATATTGAATAAATTCTTCTTTTTCTCCAAATAAGTTCTTCTTATTATGAACTCTCTGCTGGGGATGAGGATGACCTCCTTTCTGTGATAGAGTCATTCAAAAGGTTGAATAAGCTTTTGATGAGTTCTTCTCATTATGAACTTTTTCTTCCTTCTTCAGATGACGAGTTCTTCTCATTATGAACTCTTCCTCTGGAAAAGAATGATCCATCAAGTGATGAATTCAAGCAAAAGGTTGAACACGTTCTTCTCATTATGAACTTCTTCTTCCTTCTTCAGATGACGAGTTCTTCTCATTATGAACTCTTCCTCTGGAAATGTTGATCCATCAAATGATGAATTTAAACAAAAAGTTGAACAAGTTCTTCTCATTATGAACTTCTTCTTCTTTCTTCAGATGAGTTCTTCTCATTATGAACTTTCTCTGGAAAAGCTGATCCATCAAATGACGGATTCAAGTAAAAGGTTGAACAAATTCTTCTCATTATGAACTTCTTCTTCTTTCTTCAGATGACGAGTTCTTCTCATTATGAACTCTTCCTCTGGAAATGTTGATCCATTAAATGATGAATTCAAGCAAAAGGTTGAACAAGTTCTTCTCATTATGAACTTCTTCTTCCTTCTTCAGATGACGAGTTCTTCTCATTATGAACTCTTTCTCTGGAAATGTTGATCCATCAAGTGATGAATTTGAATCTTTGCTAAAATCTTTGAAATTCCTGTTAAAAATTCAACAAGAATAAAATGAATGAAAATGCACCTATTTTTGTAAACACCTAAAATATGATGCATGAATGTTAAGTTATTTGATTTCAGATTGGTGAACTGAATATTTCTTCAGTTGTAGAAACCCAATAAATCTTTCTTCTTCAAATCAGAGAATCTATCCTCTTTGACAAATGTAGAGGTAGATATAATGTCACAAAAATTTCTTGAGAATAAAACTCAATTGTATAGGCTCTTGAAAAGCTTGCATTCAGGCAACATGTTGATTCTGATAACAATTCATCTGATTATGAAGTGACCTTTCAAGATGATTTCACAGATATCGATAGTTCTTCTAATACCAAGAAATCTTGAATTCTGATTCTGATGAAGAGAATAAAATGTTATACTTGACAAGATGGGATTCTCAAAGGCTGAAGCTTCAATAGCCATGTAGAAATATGGTCCAAACTTATCAATTGTAAAATTGATAAATTTTATTTGTGCTGCTCAAATGACTAAGGCTGCTGATGCACTTCTTCGGATCAAATAACTCAAAGAACACTTCCAGAAGATGCTATGTTATGATCAAACAGATCAGATAACTCAAAGAACACTTCCAGAAGATGCTATGTTCTGTCCAATCAGATCAGATAACTCAAAGAACACTTCCAGAAGATGATATTGGCAAATTCATCTTCCAAATTCACTGATTGGTTCTGTTAAACCAGATCAAATAACTCAAAGAACACTTCCAGAAGATGCTATGTTCTGTCCAACCAGATCAGATAACTCAAAGAACACTTCCAGAAGATGCTATGTTCTTCTAACCAGATCAGATAACTCAAAGAACACTTCCAGAAGATGCTATGTTCTTCTAACCAGATCAGATAACTCAAAGAACACTTCCAGAAGATGCTATGTTCTGTCCAACCAGATCAGATAACTCAAAGAACACTTCCAGAAGATGCTATTGGCACATATAAAAGGTTGAATTGTTTATAAACATGTACAGGAAGTGCCGAATTGACAGAAAGGGTCTGTAAGGCTTCTGAAGCCTATGACAATGAGCCACCTTCAAGTGTCCAGAAGTATGTTCTTGATGAGTGCTGAAAATGGAATCTAGTATGGGTTGGAAGGAATAAAGTTACTCCACTTGAACCTGATGAGGTGGAAATGCTTCTAGGTTTCCTTAAAAACCATATACAAGGATCTGTATAGAAACATGTTTCCTAGTGATATCAATGTCTTGTTTCTTTTTGCTGGAATCAATACTGCAAAGAATCTTCTACTGTTTTAGTATATCTTTGAAAACAGATGTGCAAGAACTGAATGGTGATCGGTTGGAGCAATTGATGAGTAGAATTAGCGGATTCGACCTCGTTGTCGGTAGCACCACTTGTAACAATCTTGATGTTCATGGCTTTAAGCTAGTGATGAGTTGCTTACTTTGTATTCCATGTATTCAAAAATATTAACATAAAGTGATATTCAGAAATCTTTAAATTATTTCAAAATTATGTTAATTCAATAGAAAAGAATAAATTGAATTTCCAAAAATAAATTGAATCTCAAATAAATTGAACTTGAAATAGATAGAATTGTATTCAAAATTCTGGCAATCATAAAAATAATAAAAATTCAAATGTCTCAACAAATTATAAGCATAAGTATTTCTAAATTAATCAAGTTGACACAACTTAGAGTAATGATGTAAGCCTTTGTCTGGAAGATCTCAATCGTTGTCAAAATGCTTGTAGATGTGAATCTTCTTCCAAACCATCAAAATCTTAAGAGAGTTCAATTGCCAGATGCCTAATATCAACCTGTATTTGAGCCGCCTTTTCAGGTTTTCAACTCAAATCCTTCCTTTGGTTACAAGATGCCCTTTGCGGGTTTTCACCTTGACCCCTTTTTTTCTTTTTCTTTTTCTTCTTTTCCTTTTTTTTTTCTTTTCTTTCTCTTCTTTTTTTTTTTTTTTCTCTTCAAGCATAATATTTCTTGACAGAATCTGAGTTTATTGGATTTTTCAGAATTTTTCCATCCATTTCTGCCAAGATCAATGCTCCTC